ATCTTAGAATCGATAATGATTTAGAATTTTGTAAATCCTGCTTTGGTGAATTTTGTCAAGAAAGTGGCATAATTAGGCATAAGACTGTCCCCTATACACCCCGAGCAGAATGTGGTGGCTGAGAGGATGAACTGGACCCCTTTGGAAAGGGTTAGAAGCCTAAAGTTTTGGGGCGAAGCTGTTATGACGACAGCTTATATAGTCAATAGATCACTCTCAATACCTTTGAATAGTGTTTGTCCTGAATTTAGGTGGATTGGAAAGAAAATTGATTTTTCAAATATTCAGGGGTTTGGGTGTTCTGCTTTTATACGTGTTAATAATGACAAATTAGACCATATAGTTGAAAATTGTGTTTTCTTGAGTTATCCGGAGGGAGTTAAGAGTTATAGATTGTGGTTAAGATTTAGGTCTGGTTTTAAACCTATTATTAGTAGATATGTTATTTTCAATGAAAATTGATGCCTTGTTTAAATACAAAAAAAATCTGTTTTGGATAAATCTGAAATTAATATTGAAAATTTAGACTCTAGTAATATTTCAAATGAGGTAGAGCATAATACTGTTAGTATAAGAGAGACAAGAAATATTGAAAATAATGCTGAAATTCGTGTGCATTTTGATGTGAGAGAGGAAAATGTTTATGAAATTGATAATGATATTTCAGAAAATGAAAATGAATCTGATTTTGATAATCGTAATCAAAATGAGTTAGAAAATTATCCAAGATATGGATAGAAGAGTCCCTAGGTTGCCTTTTAGGTTTGGTGATTTTGATTTGTCCTATTTGGCTTTTAGTGTGTTTTAGAATTTAGATGGTAATGAACCTAAAACATTTAGGGAGGCCATGCATTCTGAAAATAAAAATCAATGGTTAAAAGCTATGAAAGATGAAATTGATTCATTATATGATAAAAAAACTTGGTGTTTAGTCTCTAAACCTTCAAATTGTTCTTTTGTTGATTGTAAATGAATTTATAAAGTTAAACAAGAAGATAATAGAATTAGGTTTAAGGCAAGATTAGTAACTAAGAGTTTTACCCAAAAAGAAAGAATAGATTATAATGAAATTTTTTTCCCTGTTGTTAAATTTATCACTGTTAGAGTCATATCAGCTTTAGTTGTTTTTTATGATTATGTGCTAAAACAATTAGATGTTAAAACAGTTTTATTACATGGTGAGGTAAATGAGAAAGTTTATATGAAACAACCTGAAGGTTTTGTTGATAAAAACAAAATCAATCATGTTTGTTTGTTAAATAAATCATTGTATGATTTAAAATAGTCAACTAGATAATGAAATATCAAATTTGATTATTGTATGAAAAATTTTTTTCTTACTAAAAGAAAATATTATTATTGTTTGTATTTTAAGACTGTTAATGATATGTTGATGATATGTAGATTATTAGTCCATGTTTAAAGCTAATTGATTAAGTGACTAAATGTTTGTGTGATTATTTTGACATGAAACTGTTGGGTGATGCTAAAGTGATTTTAGGGATGAGTATCTCTAGGGATAGAAAAAATTTAAGACTGTTTTTGAACCGCTCAATCTATATTTCAAGATTTGTTAAAAAAAAAAAAAATATGTGAGTGATGCTAAATCTGTTTATGTTCCTATGGCTTCTAATTTTTTGTTAAGTAGAGATCAATGTCCTAAGTTGGAATTTGATTGTGAAGATATGAAACATGTGTCATATTCTAATGCAATAAGTTTTATAATGTACTTAATGGTTAGAACTAGGCCATATTTAGCCTATGCAATTAGTTGTTTAAGTAGGAATATATCGAACATTGGTTTAAAACATTGGCATGCATTAAAGTGGGTCTTTAGATACTTAGTTGGCACAATAAAAATGTTGATTTTGTCTTTGCTAAACATACTAAAAATATAAAATTGGATGGTTTTGTATGTAATACCCCGATTTTAGAGTGTATAAAATAATATTATTATAGCAAAAAAATATTTATATAATACTTTGGGATCAAGAAATTAATATTTTGGAATAAATTTTATTTCTATTTTGTATATTGATTATAATTATAGAGACGGTTAAACGGATAAATATCGATGATGATAAATATAAAATCTAATATATATAATAATAATAATAAAGGTGATCGATGATGATAAAGATAATATTTATAATAATAATTATAATAATAACGTTAATAATAATATAATATAATATAATAATAATAATAATAATAATAATAATAACATAATTGTATATATAAATCAAACAAGCAAATCCATTTTTGAAGGAAATGAAGCAGAAGAAACGCAGGGAAAGAAGAAGAAAAGAAGAAAGAAAAAGATTTAGCCGTCCGATCTTGATTCCGACTTTGGTATTGTATTTTTTTGTTATACGTAGAATTTAATTATGGATTTTAATATGAATTTAGATATTGAAGATATTAAATTAGAAATTCTTCAAAAATTCATAACTGGCTATTTGGCTATTTAATCGACGAATTTCTTTAGCTAATAACCTATTCGTAGTCCTAGCATTATATTCTGAGGATTTCGTATCGATCCGAGCCGAATTGAAAACGGCAGTGTACTGCACCGGCTTGTTTATTCATATCGTTAAGTATTTTTATTTTATTTAATAATCGGGCGATATAAATATTATAAGGTATAAGAGTTTTATAGTTAAAATATCGTAGTCTACTAAATATAAAAGTTTGAAACCCAACGAGCTAATTATAGAAATTAGCTTTTGAATAAGCAGGTAACTCCTATGAATAAGCATATAGGTCAGCTGATTTGAGTAAATAATGGAGCAGGTGTACGTTGGAGGAGATTCAGGTGAGATTGCAAAAGCTAGGGAGTGTTGATAAGAGGTAAGCGGTAGGGAATTAAATCTAATTTTAAGAAATTAGGTATGCATGTTGCATGCGATTCTGATTAATATGTTAATGTGATATTATGTGAATCATTTTGTCAGTACATGTATATATTTATATATATGTATGCGTATGCATGTGGGAGACTTCACGGTTCATGATATTTGATATACGTATTTGATCGCGTAGGTGAATTTATGAAAAGGAGGATAGGTGAGTTGTCTCACCAGCCCTTTTCGGTAAATTCACTTATTTGATATGATGCACACATATTGCACGGTTTATCGGATATGTTTTATGGATCTATCATCTAGTTGCTGTGTACGGTAGTGCTAGGCAAGGGCATCATCTGGGGTTAGGATATTCGACCCCGATGTACCGTAACACTTTGGCGATAGTGGACGATAGTAGTCGGACAACTGGGTGACTTAGTCGCACTGTCATTAAGGGATTTGACCCATTGTAGTTGAGACGTATTTGGTCTAATCATTCGTGCTCGGTGTTGTTCCACTCATTGGGTTGGCCACTGGTGAGGTCTACCGGTAGTTTAGGATCATAAGCCAAACTTCAAACGTGATCCCGTTAGGGCGCGCGAGGAGGAGTAGAGTTTTCGGGTTTCCCTTGAGTGATTCCAGGTTGCACGGATTCTACTACATTACACGGGATAGAGCTAGTCAGTGGGGGTCTTATCTTCGTTATCACAGACTATGGGGCGTCTTGTGGTTAATGGCGACAATGTTCGGCTATCCATGTATTGATTGTGGGAGTCGTATGGTGGTTATATGGAAGTGACCGGATGACCGTTACATTATTATAGGTTTATCAGGTCCTTTCTTGAGCCGAGGATTTTCCGGCTATTTATTGATGATGGTCTAGTGAGCTTGTTATTACAGAGCCGAGGGTATTCCGTCTGCTCACTTAGACAGATGCAGTGAGCCTATTATTATGGAGCCGAAGTTATTCCGGCTGCTCACTTCGGTGGATGTATATATATATGTGCATGTGCATTGTTGTCGAGTTTGATATAGTTATTGCATCATTTCATTATTGGCATGACATGACACGTATTTTATGATTGACGGGAATTTGACTTTATTTTAAAAAGGTATGAAATGACATATTTCACGTTAGTTCTTAAATTGGATTTAATTCTATACTGCTTTAAGAAAACTATTTGTTTCAGGTATGCATGGCACATCCAAGACAGGGGACTTCTCGGGATATAGAAAGACGGGCTGAGTGAGGGAACTTACATATATTGTATTATATGTAAAATTTTAACCGGGAAAACCTCTTGTTTAGGAGCGTGTTTGTAATATTCATAAATCAGATTTTGTTATATAATAATGCGCTTTTATGGTTAATTTTAGCCATAACACTGTATTATGGGGCACGAAGTAGGTGGCGACCTCATGATGCAGTGTGGCGGTAACATTTCGAGCATGAGCCAACTGGGGGTGTTACAAGTTGGTATCAGAGCATAGGTTTGGTAGATTTTGGCTCTTTGGATTAAAAAGGTTTTGAAAGTAATAATGATATTGAATTGTTTTGCCGAGGTTTGGGTTTTGTGGATGCATTCATGTTAATGTGGTTTATGCTTTAATGTTATACCTTGTTTAGTTGTGTTGCTAAGTTGATATTGAATCAGGGAAGTCGGGGGCAGTATGTCGAATTCTCGAGATGATGGTTTACGTAGGGCTATTCGAGGCCCAGAGCTAGATCCTTCGTCTGATGAGTCACATTATCCTGTGCCAGAGCATGTATCAATAGAGGCACCTAGTCAGGATTTCTTCCGGAAGTTTATGGCTGCGATGATGCCTCAACAGAGGAGTTTTATTGATGTTGTGATGCGGCATAACCCACCAACATATTCTGGTTCCATAGAGCTTCGAGTTCTTGAGTTTTGGGTTGAGAAGATGGAAAAGATATTTCGTGTTGTTCAGGTTCTACCAGATCTACGAGCCATTATCAGGGCTTATTTCTTGGAAGGTCGAGCAAATCAGTGGTGGTTAGGTGAGGAAGCTGCGGGAGTGGACCAAGTGGATATGACTTGGGATGAGTTCAAAGCAAAATTAAAAGTTAGGTTCATACCGTCAAATTTTTGAAAAGAAAAGAAGCAAGAGCTGCTGGACTTGAAGTAGGGTTCGATGTCAGTCAAGGACTATTTTGTAAAGTTCAATGAGCTGGAGATGTATGTTCCTGACTACTTTTCCTGTGAGCGAGATAGAGTTGATCATTTTGTAGATAGGTTGCAGCAGAGGATTCAAGAAGATTTAGTTGTGTTGGATATCAGTTTGTTGTATGAGGCTTATGAGCGTGCTGCTCGATTCTATCAGAAGCAGGAAGTCAGGCAGAAGGACAGTGAGAAGGAAATTGGGTATCAACATCAGTTTCGAGATAAAGGAAAAGCTAAGGTGGAGGATGAACCAAAGGATAAAAATAAATGGTGGCAAATATTCAGGTCTGGGCCATCATATAAGGGGATTTCGATTAAAGAACAGAGTCAAGAGAGGTTTCAACAATTTGGGGTTATTTGTCGATGTTTTGGAACAAGTCATTCAGGTACCCGTTGTGATGAAGTTCCATTAACATGTTTTAAGTGTGGTGGTAATGGTCATATTTCCAGGCTATGCCCAAGTGTGGTAACTGCAAGGGAGTTTCCAGAACCGAGATTTAGGCCATGGCAGCAGCCGTCTTCGCAATCACAGAGGAGAGGATTAGGACCACACCAGCGTGGCAGAATAAATGTTGTTACCCAAACAGAGGCTGATCATCACCCAGGTGAGGTTCTAACAGGTAGATTTCTTGTTTGCGGTTTGTCAGCTCTTGTGTTATTTGATTCGGGTGCAACGTTCTCGTTCATATCTAAACGTTTGGTTAAAAGATTGGGTCTGAATTCATCGGTAGAAGTGGTAGTGGAAGTTTTACTTCCATCAGGAGAAATACTGGAGTGCCGAGAATTCTATATGCAAATTCTGGTTAATATTGGGGGAGTTGATTTTGCTACTAACTTGTTGAATATGAAGTTATCCGAGTTCGATGTGATACTGGGGATGGATTGGTTAATGGCATATCAAGCTCAATTTGATTGTCGAAAAAGATCAATTTTGTTGGTTGGAGCGATGGGTGAACAAGTGAACTATGCAGGATCTGCAAGACAACCTTCTATGAAGGTAATTTCACCCCTATCATTTCAAGCACTTATTCGTAAGGGGTATCCAGTGTATCTGTGTGAGGTAAGAGATTTGAAGCAAGTGGAGCAGCGATTGCAAAATATTTCTATGGTTCGAGATTTTCCTAATGTATTTCCTGATGATATTCCCGGTATGCCATCAGCTCGTGAGGTGGATTGTACTATTGATATTGTGTCGGGCGCCGAGCCAGTATCAAGAGCCCCATATCGCATGGCACCATTAGAACTCGCTGAACTTAAATTGCAACTACAAGAATTACTGGATAAAGGTTACATTCGTTCTAGTACGTTGCCTTGGAGAGCTCCAGTTTTATTTGTGAAAAAGAAAGATGGAAGCTTGAGGTTGTGTATTGACTACCGTGGGCTGATTAAAGAAACGGTAAAGAGCAAATATTCTCCAAGATTGACTTGAGGTCTGGATATTATCAACTAAGGGTTGCAGAGCATGATATTCCTAAGACAGCTTTTCGCACTAGATACGGTCATTATGAATTTACGGTTATGTCCTTTGGCTTGACCAACGCCCCGGCTGCGTTTATGGAATTAATGAATCGAATTTTTCAACCATACCTCGATCAGTTAGTGTCACATGCAAAACATTTGCGTGTGACACTAAATACACTGCGTGCGAGAAAGTTATATGCCAAGTTATCAAAATGTGAGTTTTGGTTGAAAAAGGTTGCGTTCTTGGGTCATGTAGTTTATGGTAAGGGTATCTCAGTAGATCCTTCTAAAGTTGCGGCAATCTCGGATTGGCCAAGACCTACCAATCAATTAGAAGTAAGAAGTTTTTTGGGTTCGGCAGCATATTACCGAAGATTCGTTCTTGATTTTTCGAAGGTTGCGAAACCATTAACTAATTTGTTGAAGAAGAACACAATGATTAATTGGGATCGTGAGTGTGAGTCTTCTTTCATAGAATTGAAACATCGATTAACTTCAGCACCAGTCTTGGTTTTACCAGTAGAAGGTGAGGATTTTGAAGTTTATAGTGATGCTTCAAAAAGGGGATTGGGATGCGTCTTAATGCAGAATCAAAGAATTATTGCTTATGTGTCACGACAACTAAAACCTCATGAAGAGAATTATCCTACACATGACTTGGAGATGGCAACAGTTGTGTTTGTTTTGAAGATTTGGAGGCACTATCCTTATGGTGCCCATTGTAGAATGTTTACTGACCATCAGAGTCTGAAATATATCTTCACCCAAAGAGAATCAAATTTAAGACAAAAAAGATGGTTAGAATTGGTGAAGGATTATGATCTCGAAATTGTATATCATGAAGGCAAAGCAAATGTTGTAGCTGATGCCTTGAGTCAAAAACCAAAGCATAAGTTGGGTTCTATGTTAGTTGCCGATGAACTGTGTCAAGATTTAGCACGGATGGAAATTGAAGTACTTAGACGGGGCATGACGCGGGGATATTTGCAAATGATGCAAGTTGAGCCTGAAATTTATGATCATATTAGAGCTGCTCAAATGGAGGATAATAAGATGGTCGAGCTGGCTATAAAAGTTCAGTGCGGTCAGACTCAAAACTTTAATATTGCTTCAGATGGGAGTCTTCGGTTCCATAGAAGGTGGTGTATCCCAAAGGACTGAAGCGATTTGAAGGAGAAAATTATGAGTGAGGCTCATAATACACCATATTCAGTACATCCATGAGGGATTAAAATGTATCAAGACTTATGTCAACATTTTTTGTGGAAGGGCATGAAGAAGGATGTAACCAAATTTGTTACACAATGTTTAAACTGCCGAAAGGTGAAAGCAAAGCATCATAGACCAATGGGCTTGCTACAACCTTTAGAAGTTCCGCTCTGGAAATGGAATTCTATTGCAATGGATTTTGTGACAGGACTTCCAAGGGCGAAGTCGGGAACATATGCAATTTGGGTGATTATAGATAGATTGACTAAGTCAGCAGTGTTCATCCCAGTACGTATGACTTGGAGCATGCAGAAGTTGACCAAATTATATGTTCATCATGTGGTTAAACGACACGGTATTCCTGAGGTAATCATATCGGATCATGATCCACGTTTTCAATCTCGATTTTGGCAAAAATTGCAAGAAGCCTTTGGTACTCAGTTGCATATGAGTACTGCATTCCTTCCAATGACTAATGGTTAATTAGAGTGAACTATCCGTATTCTGGAAGATATGCTAAGAGCTTGTGCAATAGAATTTCAAGGAAGTTGGGAGGACCACTTGGATTTAGTGGAATTCTTATATAATAATAGTTATCAAACAAATATTGGAATGGCTCCTTTTGAAGCTCTTTATGGACGAAGATGCTGGACTCTTTAAGTTGGGATGACATGAGTGATCGACTGATATTAGGCCCAGAAATGATCGAAGAGTCAAAAAATAAGATTCGAGTTATCAGGGAGAAGATGAAGATAGCTCAAGATCGCCAAAAAAGTTATGCCGATAAAGCCCGACGTGAAGGTCAATTTCAAAGTGGAGATTTCGTCCTGGTAAAAGTATCTCCAATGAAAGGTATTAGAAGGTTTGGAATTAAAGGAAAATTGAGTCCGCGTTATGTTGGATCCTATGAAATCCTCGATCGAGTTGGGGATTGGGCTTATCTGTTAGCACTTCCTAATTCTATGGAACGAATTCATAATGTGTTCCATGTATCACAGCTTCGTAGGTATGTCGCAGATCCTTCTCATATTTTATCTCCGGATGAGTTAGAGGTAAATGAGGATCTTTCGTATGAGGAAATTCCTCTTTGGATCATGGACACAAATGTTCGAACTATGAGGAACCGAGATATTCGTATGGTGAAGGTAATATGGTCCCGACATGGAGCGGAAGAGGCCACGTGGGAAGTAGAACAAGAGAAGTTCAAAGCATACCCATATTTATTTAATTAAGTAGTGTTGTATGCGTTTGAGTTTAGATTTCAGGGACGAAATCCTTTAAGGGGGAGTGAATTGTAATGCCCCGATTTTGAAGTGTATAAAACAATATTATTATAGCAAATAAACATTTTTGTAATACTTTGAGATCAAGAAATTAATATTCTGAAATAAATTTTATTCTTATTTTGTATATTGGTTATAATTATAAATACGGTTAAACGGATAAATATCGATGAGGATAAATATAAAATATAATATATATATATAAATATAATAATAATAATAATAATAATAATAAAGGTGATGATGAAGAAGATAATTTTTATAATAATAATAATAACAACAACAACGTTAATAATAATAATAATAATAATAATAACAATAATAATAATAATAATAAATATATATAAATCAAACAAGCAAACCCATTTCCGAAGGAAATGAAGCAGAAGAAACGTAGGGAAAGAAGAATAAAAGAAGAAAGAAAAAGATTTAGCCGTTCGATTTCGATTTTGATTTGGGTATTGTATTCATTGTTATACGTAGAATTAAATTATGGATTTTAATATGAATTTAGATACTGAAGATAGTAATTAGAAGTTCTTCAAAAATTCATAACTGACTATTTGGCTATTTAATCGACGAATTTCTTTAGCTAATAACCTATTCGTAGTCCTAGCATTATATTCTGAGGATTTCGTATTGATCCGAGCCGAATTGAAAACGGCAGTGTACTGCACCTACATGTTTATTCATATCTTTAAGTATTTTTTTATTTAATAATCGGGGGATATAAATATTATGAGGTATAAGAGTTTTATAGTTAGAATATCGTAGTCTACTAAATATAAAAATTTGAAACCCAACGAGCTAATTATAGAATTAGCTTTTGAATAAGCAGGTAGCTCCTATAAATAAGCATATAGCTCAGCTGATTTGAGTAAATAATGGGGCAGGTGTACGTTGGAGGATATTCGGGTGAGATTGCAAAAGCTAAGGAGTGTTGATAAGAGGTAAGCAGTGAGGAATTAAATCTAATTTTAAGAAATTAGGTATGCATGTTGCATGCGATTCTGATTAATATGTTAATGTAATATTATGTGAATCATTTTGTCAGTGCATGCATATATTTATATATGTGCGCGTATGCATGTGGGAGACTTCACGGTTCATGATATTTGATATGCGTATTTGATCGCATAGGTAAATTTATGAAAAGGAGGATAGGTGAGCTGTCTCACCATCCCTTTTCGTTAAATTCACTTATTTGACATGATGCACACATATTGCACGGTTTGTCGGATATGTTTTATGGATCTATCGTCTAGTCGCCGTGTGCGGTAATGCTAGGCGAGGACATCATCTGGGATTAGGATATTCGACCCCGATGTACCGTAACACTTTGGCGATAGTGGACGATAGTAGTCGGACAACTAGGTGACTTAGTCGCACGGTCATTCAGGGATTAGACCCATTGTAGTTGAGACGTATTTGGTCTAATCATTCGTGGTCGGTGTTGTTCCACTCATTGGGCTGGCCACTGGTGAGGTCTACCGGTAGTTTAGGATCATATGCCAAACTCCAAACGTGATCCCGTTAGGGCGCGCGAGAAGGAGTAGAGTTTTCGGGTTTCCCTTGAGTGATTCCAGGTTGCACGGATTCTACTACATTACACGGGATAGGCTACTCAGTGGGGGTCTTATCTTCGCTATCACAGACTATGGGGCGTCTTATGGTTAATGGTGACAACGTTCGGCTATCCATGTATTGATTGTGGGAGTCGTATGGTGGGTATATGGAAGTTACCGGATGACCGTTATATTATTATGGGTTTATCAGGTCCTTCCTTGAGCCGAGGATTTTTCGGCTATTTATTGATGATGGTCTAGTGAGCTTGTTATTACAGGGCCGAGCGTATTCCGGCTGCGCACTTAGATAGATGCAGTGAGCCTATTATTATGGAGCCGAAGTTATTCCGGCTGCTCACTTCGGTGGATGCATATATATATGTGCATGTGCATTGTTGTCGAGTTTGATATAGTTATTGCATCATTTCACTATTGGCATGACATGACACGTATTTTATGATTGACGGGAATTTGACTTTATTTTAAAAAGGTATGAAATGACATATTTAATGTTAGTTCTTAAAATGGATTTAATTCTAGACTGCTTTTAAGAAAAATATTTGTTTCAGGTATGCATGGCACATCCGAGACAGGGGACGTCTTGGGATATAGAAAGACGGGCTGAGTAAGGGAAATTACATCTATTGTATTATATGTAAAATTTTAACCGGAAAAACCTCTTGTTTAGGAGCGTGTTTGTAAATATTCATAAATCAGATTTTGTTATATAATAATGCGCTTTTATGGTTAATTTTAGCATTAACACTGTATTGTGGGGCCCGAAGTAGGAGGTGTCGACCTCATGATGCAGTGTGGCGGTAGCATTTCCAGTATGAGCCAACTGGGGGTGTTACATTGTAGATTCGAATTATGCTAATAATAGAGACACTAGGAAAAGTACTACTTCGTAT